GGCTTAATTTTTATTTCATTAAAAATTAAAAAATTTTCAGTTTCCTCTCCAACAAAAATATTTAGTGTCGGTGGTGGTTCAAATACATTTAAAGAACAAAGAGATTGATCTTTAATTTGTTTTTTCGTAGAATCAAAAATGTTGAATTCTACCTTTTGATCATCAAACTCTAACGTTAATGAACCATTAGACACGTCTATTTTTGTTTTTGCGGTTTTTAGAAAAGGCCTACCCAAGAGGATGGGTGTAGTTTGGTTATCATCTCCCATTTCCAGAACATAAAAATCAACAGGGAAAATCAAATTTTCTACTTCTACTAGCACATCTTCTACTACACCCTTCGGGTAAGTATTAGACCGATCCGCTAGTTGAATCACTACACCAGTTTGATGTAGTGGGCCGAGTTGTAAGGATTTATATAAGGAATAAGGAATGACATTTATTGACGCTCCTAAATCCAACAAGGCCTTAGAAAATAAGGTATCCCCTATTTTGCAAGGAATAGTGAACATGCCTGGATCGCTACATTTCTCAGAGAGTTTCTTTTTAAAAATGGCCGAGACACGTTCACTCACTTCAACTTTTTGTTTCCCTTCCAGTTTATTTTTCTTTTTCATTGTGCATAGTTCCTTTAAGAATTTTTCATAACGGGGAACACTTTTGATCAGTTTGAAGAGTGGGATGTGTACCTCAGAATTGACGAATGTTTCGTAGATGTCCCGATCATTCGTCAGCTTCCTCGTGTCTTTCAATGCCTCAGGGAATGGAGGGAGTGGTTCATATGATGACAGTGGAGGGAATTTAGTCTTCGTTGGCTTCTCCTTTTCTTGTTGAAAGCCTTCTTCAAGATCAACCTCTTGCTTCTCCTCCTCAACTTCCCGTGGTTGCAATTCTTTACCGTTCCTCAACATGATTGCATTGACATGTTGTCTTGGGTTTTGCTCAGTTTGGGAGGGGAGCCTACCCGAATCTTTTGCTTCAAGTCGACTTACGGCATTTGAAATTTGGCTAACTTGAGTTTCCAAATTTTGAATGCTCGAATTGGTTTCATGTTGGAATTGCATCATGGTTTGTTGCAATTGCGCCATGCTTTGCTGCATTGTTCCCATATTAACGGCTAGCGCTCGAATCATATCTTCGGTGGACATACTCGAGTTCGATGTTTGGCCTTGTGGTTTATATTGTTGAGGAGGAGGATTTGTTTGAGAATTTCCGTACCTTAAATTCGGATGATCCCTCCATCCCGGGTTGTAAGTATTGCCTTGAGGATCGTACCTCCTTTGACCTTGGAACCCCAAAGCATTAACTTGCTCGGAGTTCTCTTCTTGTAGCGTTGGGAAAGAATCTGTGGGATGCCCTTGCGTTGAATAGATGCCGCAGACCTTGACTTCTTGGGTTTTTGGATTTAAAAGGAAATCATTAACCAAAAAGGTCAAGCCGGCTACTTGACTCTCCAACGAGTTGTTGGATTCCGCTGCCATGACTCGTTTCGATGACGACCTTCCGTTGTAATGTCTCGAGTTTTCGGCCAACTCCGAAATGAGGTCTCTTGCTTGAGAAGGGGTTTTGTTAACCATACCCCCTCCGCATGCCGCATTCACCATGCGTCTATCTTGATCAACAAGTCCATCATAGAAGTAGAGGATGAGATCTTGTTCTGAATACCCATGATATGGGCAACTAGCACATAATTTTTTAAAGCGTTCCCAATATTCATACAAGGTCTCATTATCTGCTTGCTCAATGTTGCTGATTTGCTTCTTGAGACTTGAAGAGATAGATGCGGGATAGTACCTGTCAAGGAAGCTCTTTTTCATTTGAGCCCATGTGTTGATGCTCCCCGAGGGAGAATGGGAAGGCTCTCAGCTTGATTTGCTCCTCAGACACGCCATTGGGGCACATGCTTGTGCACACAATATGGAACTCCGACAAGTGTTTATTTGGATCTTCCCCTCGTAGGCCATGGAAAGAGGGAAGTAGATGAATGAGCCCATATTTTAGCTCGAATGTGACTCCCGTATCAAGAGTTGGAAAAGTGATACATAAGGGTTGTTGATTTAGATTCGGAGCCGTGAGCTCCCTCAGCGTCCTTGTTTCCAGAGCCATGTGGAAGGACTCTTCGGATTCGCTAGAATGAGAACTAGCACTTGATGATTCCTCCGAAGAAGTATTCGGAAATAGATTCCTGAACCTCTCGAAGGCTTGTTCTGTTTCGGGTTTTGTTTGGTAGGTGATTTGGTTTATAGATCGGTGTTTAACCATATACTCAACGGCGGGTTTTTGTGCTCCTGGGTATTTTTGTCTTCAGCTTTTCTCCCCTTTTCCTTGCTACAAACTCTATCACTATTCTATAACTACGAAAAGAAGGAGAAAGCAATTACAAACAAAATAAAACAAGTACTTACAAACTAACTAAAAGCGATGGAAAGTCCACACCCAATCAACATAAAAACATACATTTATGCACTATAAACTAGTGCATATCAATGGCAATTGGCAAACGACGAAGCCAACTCTACTGGCAACCGAACGACCGAACCGATGCGACGGAAGATCAACGATCCTTCGTCTCCGTATTACCTGGCAAGCTCCGATTTCCCTGGAATGCTCATTTGCGGGGTTACCCTCAAAGGCGAGAGTAACTATCGTGAATGGACGACGACGATGAAAAATGCCTTTCGTGCGAAACGAAAGGTGAGTTTTTTGGATGGTACGATCGAACGACCAGACGACAACATACAGGAATTGGAAGATTGGGACACCGTGAACTCAATGCTCGTGGGATGGATGATGACCGCGATTGAGCCAGGTTTACGTACCAATCTCACCTACATGGAGAGTGCGCGTGATTTTTGGGAGGATCTTAAATCGCGCTTTGCGGTTGGGGATCCGATGAGGATTCATGAGCTCAAGGAATCGATCCGACTATGCCGACAGGATGGGCAGACTATTGCAATGTATTTCGGACGCCTTAAGTCGTTGTGGGACGACTATGAGGGTTTCCGTATCATGCCACAATGCAAGTGTGACGGGTGCACATGTGATTTGAACAAAATATACTTGAAACAAATTGAACAAGAAAAAACCCATGGGTTTCTGATGGGTCTTGATCATGACATATATGGAGCATTGCGTTCAAATTTACTCAGCCATAATGAAATGCCAAGCTTGACCAAGGTGTACCAGATTATGGTACAGGAGGAAAGGCTTCGAAACATGACTCGTTCACGAGAGGAGAAGGTTGACGCAGTTGCCTTTGCGACTAGGACTGGTACATCCTCAACCGGACGGGATGACAAGGTGATTTGCAGATTTTGCAAGAAGTCGGGGCATGGAATAGAAAATTGTTTCAAAAGAACCGGAAATTATCCGGAATGGTGGTATGACAATCCTGGAAAAGGGAGAGGTACACGAGGCCGTGGAGGTGCCGGCAGAGGACGTGGCAGAGGGGTAGTCAATGCTGTGCATGCAGAAGGAGGCGATGAAGGCTCTGGACTTCCGCCAGGCAGTACCATAGCGAGCCAAACACCAAAGCTGTCAGATGACCAGTGGGCAAAGCTACTTGAATTCATGGAACAGTGTAAGACCGCCACTCATGAGAAGGTTGCAGGTGAGGTTGTTTGTACAAATTGGCTTTTAGACTCTGGTGCGTCTTTTCATATGACCGGCAATGAAGGTTTGTTGATTCATCAACAAAAAATAACTCCAGTGACTGTACACATGCCTAACGGCAAAATTGCCTTTGCCAAAAGCAAAGGAGAAGTACGGATAAACAAAGAAATTAAACTCACCAATGTGTTATTGGTTCCTGGCTTGACTTGCAATTTAATTTCTGTGGGGCAGTTAATCGATGAACGAAAAGTCGGGTTATTTTTTACTAATGATGTTTGTGTGATACAGGACTTACTTTCGAGGACGCCGATTGGAGCGGGTGAGAGACGTGATGGAGTGTACTACTTTCATAGTTTGGATCCGGCTCGTGTTTGCTCAATAAAAGGGAAGGTCACAAATGCTTTATGGCATTCCCGGTTAGGACATCCCTCAGTGAAGATTTTACGTTCAGCTCTTAGTTTGAATAAATCATTTTTGACAGTTGATTTGAATAAAAATTGTGACGCATGCATGCGTGGAAAAAAGACTCGTGATGTTTTCCGTATTAGTAATTCAAGAGCTTTTGGATTATTTGAATTGATACATTGCGATGTGTGGGGTCCTTATCGTGTTACTGCGTCATGTGGTGCCAGATATTTTTTTACTATTGTTGATGATTATTCCCGGGCAGTTTGAGTTTATTTAATGCGGGAGAAAAGTGAAGTTTCCACTATCCTAAAACAATTTTTAGCCATTATAGAGAGACAATTTGACAAGAAGGTGAAAATTGTTAATAGCGACAATGGAATAGAATTTCAATGTTTAAAATCTTTTTTTTGGACAATGGAATTTTGTTTCAAACTACATGTGTTTACACTCCACAACAGAATGGGAGAGTTGAACGTAAACACGGACACATTTTGGAGGTTGCACGTACTCTGCGATTTCATGAACATTTACCTATTCAATTTTGGGGTGAATGTGTATTGACGGCCTGTTACCTAATCAATCGATTGCCATCATCTGTTTTGGATTATAAGAGTCCGTATGAACTCATATATGATAAAGTGCCCAAATACGATCAACTACGCGTTTTTGGATGTCTCTGCTATGCTCATAATCATGGGAAAAATCGGGATAAATTTGATTCACGTGGAATAAAATGTGTCTTTCTCGGATATGCCTACTCTCAGAAGGGATGGAAATTATTTGATCTGGAAAAACACATTTTTATTGTATCCCGAGACGTGACCTTTGTTGAAGATTCTTTTCCATATGCACCTGGAGCACATGAAATCTCTTCACAGCAGGATAAGGAAGTGGGACCTTCTGATCTTGTCCCTATCACACATTTTCATGCAAATGAGGATGAGGATATCACTTTGGGGTCAAGCAGCCAAATGACTCCACACGTATCAACTTTCCACCACACTGGGACCGAACAAAATAATAATGCAGAACATTCATCTACTTCCCAAGCTACGGGCGTGGCTGATCATGCTGAGACACGTGGCAGTCAAAAACATGAAGACAAAGGCTCGGCTTCAGGGGATCAAATGCCAGAATTGCATGCACGACGTAGTACACGCTCGCGGAAGGCACCGGTTTGGCAGAAAGATTATGAGGTGCAACTCAATACTATGAAAGTACACACTCCGCCCGTTTTTCACACCAAACCAACGGTTGAATCAGGTAATCCTTATCCCTTATCTCATTACGTAAATTATAATCGTTTTTCGGTACACCATCGTGCCTTCCTTGCAGCAATTTCATCACACAAGGAACCACACACTTTTCACGAGGCAGCACGTGACCCACTCTGGCGGGCAGCCATACAACGAGAACTTGCGGCTTTGGAACGTACAGGCACATGGAAAATGCAAGATTTACCGCCCGATAAGAAACCTATTTATTGTAAATGGGTCTATAAAATTAAGTACAGAAGCGATGGTACCGTTGATCGACACAAGGCCCGTCTAGTGGTGTGTGGTAATAGACAAGTGCAGGGAATAGACTACGACGAGACCTTTGCACCTGTGGGCAAAATGGTTACCGTGCGCACTATGCTATCCATTGCTGCTTCTCGAGATTGGGAGATACATCAAATGGATGTGGATAACGCTTTTCTTCATGGCGACCTTAAAGAAGAGGTATACATGCATCCGCCTCCTGGTTATTCTCCTTCTTAACCTGGACAGGTGTGCAGATTACTTCATTCTCTCTATGGTTTGCGTCAAGCACCCCGTTGTTTTTTTTCCAAGTTAACCAGTGCTCTTCTCACTTATGGATTTCGCCAGTCCCATGCTGATTATTCTTTATTCACTCTTCATCGAGGGGGACATATCTTGTGCATATTGGTGTATGTTGATGATTTACTTATCATAGGTTCTAATCCTGTGATGATTTCCATTTTTAAAACATACTTAGCTAAAATATTTCTTGTCAAAGATTTGGGGCACATGAAATATTTTCTTGGGCTGGAAATAGCAAGAGGCAAGAAAGGAATTTTTTTATGTCAACACAAGTATGTTTTGGATATTCTTGATGAAACAGGGTTAACCGGAGCCAAGCCTGCAATGTTTCCTATGCCCCAAAACCACATACTTCAGGCTGATGAGGGTCCATTTTTTTCAGAACCTGATCGCTATCGACGCTTAGTGGGCAAGCTTATTTATCTCACACTCACACGCCCCGATATTAATTATTCTGTGCATATTCTTTCTCAATTTATGCAAGCACCTCGACTTGCGCATTGGGATGCTGTTATACGGGTTCTTCGCTACCTCAAATATCATCCTGGTCAAGGGGTTCTTCTTAGACGTCACTCATCTCTTACTCTTGTTGGCTATTGTGACTCTGATTGGGCTAGTTGTCCCACTAAGCGTCGTTCAATTACAGGTTATTTTGTCACACTTGGGGGCTCTCCTATTTCTTGGAGGACGAAGAAGCAGGCTACGGTATCACGTTCGTCTGCTGAAGCTGAGTACCGGTCCATGGCAACACTTACTTGTGAACTACTCTGGCTCAAAAGTCTTCTTTCTTCGTTACGTATTACTCTTCCCCCAATTCGGCTCCTGTGTGACAATAAAGCTGCTATTCACATCGCATCAAATCCAATGTTTCATGAACGCATTAAACACATTGAGCTGGATTGCCACTTTATCCGTGACCATGTGCGTTCTGGTGTGATCATTCCTTCACACATTTCTACTACGGAGCAATTAGCGGATTTATTTACTAAAGCCCTTGGTGCTTCTCAGTTCCATTATTTGCTTGCCAAGATGGGCATTCAAGACCCCCATGCTCCATCTTGAGGGGGTATTGGAGGACACGTGCGCCTGAGACCATACGTATTCTTCTTGATAAGTTTTGTATTATTTATTGTACGTTTCAAAAGTCCAACCGTTTGTACATGCATTGGGATAGGACTCTTCTTTATGGCTTTTGGGTTACGTAGCTTTAGGAGAGGATAGAAAAACATGCAGTATATATTTTCTTGTACCACAGCCTTGTACAAATACACTTTTCAGTGGAGATACGAATACAATTCCTTTTATATCTCAATTCCTAATTTATCTTTAAGTCCCGGGTTCGAATCCTGGTAACTGCGATGAGGGGTTACTATGCTAAAAATGTATATGGCTTCTACAAGTACCGGAGACAGAACCTCACTCTCTATCTGTCAGAGTGAGAGGCCCTCAGGGATGGGGTGTCATTCTTTTTTCAATGATTCATCATACCTAGCCTAGCCTAGCCCATTGGGATTAATTTGAACATCAATTCTGTTAACTTGTCTACGTAATAAGACCCTTTGTAGTGGTTGGGAGTCCAAATTGTTAAATTTGGACTCCGTCCATATGAAACCAGTGTTTCGACTACGTCAATACTGTTTTTCCCTGTATCTGTGCACCGTCAATAAAATACACTCAACATATTTTCTTACATATCAATTTAGTAAAACATTAATTAATTTATTATAAGTAATGTTTTCCGTTTAATATTTTCCCTAAAAAATTGTGAAATAAAAAATACACAATTCGATGTAACAATTCGGTTAACAAAAATGAATTTACTTCAAGTAAAGTTCGATTATGAAATATTCAGTTATTTGTGAAGATTCCACGAATTAAAAATTTGTGTTTCATCGTTTTGTAGACGGAAAAAAAACTTCAACAATTAAAACTTATGAATTTTTGTTTCATTTTATATATTACATATTGGTGTCATATGAAAGATCATAAAAATTTATGAATTTTGATATATATTTTGAAAATTTTGGAGAACAAATAAAAAATTTACAAGAGTTTAAAACAATTTGGGGTAAAAATGATGTCACAATGATGTCAGTGAATACATGGTTTGGCTACCCCAACCAGCCCATCCCCTTTTTCTTTTCTTTTCCATTTATTTTTTGCTGTCAACCCCTCCCTCTATTTTTACACTCCTCCGCTCCCCTTTCCACTTTTACTCTCCCTTTTAATCCTCCACTACACACAAATAAGAGTCTAAACTCTCAATTTTTAATCTTTTGACTCTTAATCCCAAACCACTACGAATGGTTATAAAGGCATATTGCCAATAATCTACTCCGTATGTGTTCCATTTCTCCTCATTAATATCATCGGTCTCAACTAATTATCCGTTGTGATGTGATTTGTTTGTTGCCGAAGAGAGTAGGATTGGTCGGCTCCATAGGCTAAGAAATTCATTGATTAGCAACTACGCTCCTTATTAGAATGTGTTTACGTACATACCAATATTTCATCATCATGGTCTAGCCTGGCCTGGCTTAATTTATTCAGTGACTCCATATTATTATGTACTTTTAGACTTTCAAGCACCGCCCGCCTGTCCAACTCAGTTAATCCTAGAGTGAAGTTTGGCAGGACCGTTTCTCAAGGGGTTCTTGGGATCCCGAGCCTCTACCTTGCATTAGAACAAGGTAGAGTGCGTTCTTTCTTCACAACCGTGAACCGTCCAATTGGAAAATCAAAGGGCGGAGATGTTGGAGTCCACTTTTTCGACGATCTCGAGGTCGTTCTTGTCGCTTTGCTGTCGTTCGATGCACAAGGCACAAACCTTACCGTGTGGCAGAGGATCTTGATCGCTCGGGGCAACCTTTGGTTGCGATCTGGGCATACATTAAAAGAAGTAATATTTCACTTTCGCCTTTACCCTCCCACTTATCCTACACCTCTCAAGTCATTTCACAAAGTCGGTAAAAGCTCGTTTGATTATGATTTCCAATACGAATACGAACCGTGAAAGCGTGGCCTAACGATCCTTTAGAGCTTCGGAATATCAGACTCGTTGGAGTCAAAGTGATTTGACTTACGAAGTGCGATCCCAGGTCAGGCGGGGCTACCCGCTGACTTTAAGCATATCAAAAGAGGTATATGTGAGGGTATGTACTTATTTTGCAAGAAAAATAAAGGAGAATAAAAAAGTGAACCATAAACTTATACCTTGCCCAGCCAAAATGTTGCTACTTTAAAAAATTAATTAATTAAAAAAATTAATTTAAAAACGACCCGTCCAAGTGGCACGGCCCACCCACCGTACCGAAACCTGACCGCAACCGTTTTTATGGCACGACCCACCCACCGCACTGAAACCTAACTGACGACCCGCTTTTACCACGCGCGCTACACTGATGTATTCAACGGGCATATAACCTTGGTCGATAACGGGATCCATTCAATGAAAGACAACTTACAAAATTTGAGGGGCCCCAAATAAATTGTGGTCTCGGTAATAAAGCTAGTCCATGCTAGAGCTATAAAGTACGGAGTAGTGCTTAATCACTTGGAATTCGAGTGAAAATGTGACTTCCATCAAACGACGTGGAGGGGAACTTTCAAGCAAAGTAACCGTCTACCACCATATAATACTACGTATTGTTTATGATAACAAACAGGTAACAATTGATCAACTATTGAGTAACATCAATTACCATTCCATCTCATGGAAAAGAAGAACGGAAATTACTCCAAATAAGAATAAAATTATGACAAAAATCTAAAATAGGACTTGTTATGCTTTTATTCCAAAATATGATCATATTACTCCTATTGGAAATATACCTATTTTTTCATTCCATTCTTACCTCACCTTTAAATATGAGTAAAAGGTAGCCAAAAGTCATAATTAAATGTTTAATTCATAATAAATTCAAAAAAAATTAAAAAATCGTAGAAAAATAACAAAAAAAAATATTTATAAAATTAAAAATTAAAAAAATTAAAAAAAATAGTAAAACTTCATAAAAAATATTAATAAAATATGGATGTCTTTCCCACCGCATGTACTGCCTCCCTGCACCACCACCTCCGACTGGTGTAAAAATGTCATTTTTCTGAAAATGCCAAAAACATGACATATTACTCATTGAAAATGCCAAAATTTTCATTGAATTTGTCATAAATATGGCATCCCTAATGCATGAGTAATTTTGCCCCCGATGATGGTGGTGCTGGGGTGGCAGAGGCAGAGGTGATTTTTTAGCGTTTTTCAGTTTTGTAATTTTTTTAGTTTTTTAAATTAGATGTCTTTCCCACCGCTTGTAGTGCCTCCATGCACCACCACCTCCGATCGATGTAGAAAATGCCATTTTTTCTGAAAACTGCCATTTTTTCTGAAAATGCCAAAAAATGGCATATTACTCTTAGAAAATGCCAAAATTTTCATTAAATCTACCATAAATATGGCATTTGTAATGGATATGGCATTTTTTTTCCTGGTGACTGGAGGTGGTGCTGTTGGAGCAGTAGAGGCGGCGGTGAAATTTTTTTGCGTTTTTTATTTTTTTTAAAAAATAATTTTTTTAAAAAAAAATTAATTACTGTTTTTTAGTATTATTTAAATATTTTTATTAATTTTTTAGTAGTGTTTACGAGTTTTACTGTTTTATTTTATTTTATTATGAATTAAAAACATTTCAATAACAACAAGAGTATATTTACCCAACACACATAATTAGTCCTATCAAAACATAGTTTACTTTTTTTCCTATTTGTGCAAAGTGACCAACTTTTAATCCTATTTTGACAATTAACCCAAAGGAAAGGAACAATAATGAAAGAAAGTCATCATGGTATATTTTGTTTGTATATACACAAATTAATACTACCTCCGTCCTTTAAAACTTTGCCATGTTTGACCGGCACGGAGATTAATAAAGTAAAAAATGTGTGATAGAAATTTGTGAAGAGGAGAGAGAATTAACTGGAACCACAAATTTTTTACTTAAAAGAGAAAGTGGCAAAGTTAGTGGGACAACCAAAAAAGGAAAGTTGACAAAGTTTTAAGGGACGGAGGGAGTATAGGATTATATGATCGGTAGCCTGTTAACTTGATCTTGTAATGTGGGGCTTTAATTTGACAATTAGAACTAGGAACACAAACGAGTAAGCTGTTTGTGAGCAACTCGCTCACTCAAAACTCAACTCAAGTTTGAACAAACTCGAGCCTACCTCAAACCTACTCATTAAGCAATCGTATCGAGCCCGATTGAGCTCAATTCCTTTTGGCTCGTGAGCCATTGAATACCGACCTATGGTTAACACTTTCATCACTCAAGCTTCCGTTAGTATTTTTTATTGGGAAAACTACGAAAAAGATACATGATTGAACCCGTTTTAAGATAGGGTCATGTGTTTCATTTTTTGTCATAGTGGTTCATGTGTTTGAACTTCGTTATCACAAGAGGGTCACGCTGTTAAAAACGTCTGAGGAAGGCGGTGAACAGTAACTCCGATTTTCAAAAGTACCCGGAAAATTAAAAGAAAAATAACGGAAGGTGCGCCTCGCCACAGATGACCTCCAAACCACCTTCGTATTTGAATTTTTCGGATCTATTTAGATTATTTTTTTAAAAATGAATTCGCTAATATAGCTTTTCTGGTGGACTTTCCGGTGACAAGGGTGGCTGGAAACAAAAAACAAAGATGGCCTATCGGTCATCTTGTTGAGGCGTACCTTCCGATATTTTTCTTTTAATTTTTCGGGCATTTTTGAAAATCAGAGTTACTGTTCATCATTTTCCTCCGACGATTTCTAGCTGTGAGAATAATGGAATGACTTATCAAACCGGTAGACCTAGGTGTCATATATATAATAAATAATGTCTTGAATACAATAGGAAACTTAATAAATATGAAAACCTAATTAATGTATTAATTTACTATTACACCCCCTCAATCTGTGCAGGGGAAACAATGCACATATGGTCTCTAAGAAAAATAAAACACTGAGGAGACAAGCATTTTGTAAAAATATCTACGAGCTGAAGTTGTGTAGGAACATATCGAACAACCAGATCTCCATGT